CAGCAGCACATTGCAGCTCCTGGCTGGTCTGTGAGCTCCTAGCCCAGCGCCTGGTGTTTAGTCGGGGCTCAGCCCCCTGGCTACTGCCGCGAAGCCAGCTTCTCGAGTTGTCTGATTTGCTCCTAGCTTATATTTAGGGCATAATGACGATCTGAATTTATTGGAAATCCTCTAGCAAACATTTTTTAAAATCGAGGGATAACATGAGTCAAGTGCATAAAAGTGCAGTAATCTTCGCTGTACTGCTTGATGGCTTTGTACCTATGATTACATTAATGTGTGCAGGCGTCTCCCACTTTTCAAAAGTTTGCTTGAGGCTGCTTCTCTGTTACCAAAGCCCACTTTGCAAAAGACTGAAAGAAATCTAAAGAGGATTTTCACTTTTACGAAAAAAGGTGAAAAGTGAAAATAAGATACAGTGTTGGTTTTGCAGCAGCTGTTACAGAGGCAGTGCGCACCCCAAGCAGTGGGAGCGGCCTCACCAAGCTTCTTCCCGGGAACCACACTCAGCACCTCAGCGTCAAACCCCCGTAGCTTTGTACTGTGTCTGTGAGCATCTGCTTTATCACCGTTTATTTTGCATATCTGTTAGCAAGATGTGTCCTAAGGCAATTGCTTCTTGCTTTGCACCGTCCTGGCTTACAGAAGGTTTCATGGGAATGCTCTACTTTCAGATTGCGGGGAAAGCTTGTAATTCAGGTCAAGATAGAAAACATCTCTGGCATCCCATGCAGCTCCTTCTCAGTCTGTAACCAGCACCCCACCCCCCTCCCACCAGCTAATCACCACTCTGACTTTCAGAGGTGCCTTTTTTAAAGTTTTTTTTTAAATTGTGGTGAAATACCTATAACAAGTAATGTTTACAATGGATTAACCATTTTTAAGTATACAATTCAGTGGCGTTAGGTACATTCTTTAAAGGTATTCTTTACATTTTAATGGCACTGGTAATACTTTCTTGGGGTAAAACAACTGAATGATACAGAAGTGACTAGAGTAGAAAGTGAAAGTTCCCCCAACCTCAGTATCTTCCTCAAAAGGAACCACTGTTTTCAGTTTGTGTATCCTTCCAGACCTTGCTCTGTGTACTGTCATGCAAATATCTATCAACACAGGAAAACATGGTGTACATGCACATGTTTTAAGTTGATAGTTTTGTTTTTTAACTGTGAACGGAATCCTCGACTGATTGATTGCAACTTGGTCCGGTCTGTGTCAGGGTCTTTCAAAGGGCTGCACCAAGAACTAGTAGAGGACATTCCGTTTGATGTCTGTGGCATTGGTGATACTGCCTCTCCGTTTCCACTCAGATGCCCGGGCCTTGCATGTTTCCGTCCTTCTTCCTGACCCCTTGCCCCTGACCCCTCTCACTGTCCTTGCAGAACCTGTTCTCAGATCCCACAGCCCCTGAAAGGCCTTAGTTATCGCTGACCCCTGGGGAGTCACCTTTTCGATATTTAACTTTGAAACAAGGACCAAAGGTCGGAGGCATGAAGGCTGGCGGAAGGCGTTGCTGGCCTTCAGCTGCCTCTGACCCCAGAAGCCAGCCTGAATGTCCCAGCCACAGAGCCCAAGGCTCCCCTCCTGCATCCCCCACTCGGGTACCCGGCAGGATCTCTGGAGTCAGCAAGGAGCGCCCCGAGTCTCCATGCCTCCTGCAGCTCAGACTCCAGGGCCCTGGGAGGTGAGCCCTTGGTGAAACCCGAGCCTGCGGCCTTTGGGAAACCTAGACCTTATTTGCAGAAGGCTTTTCTCTGAGGCATGCGTGGTGTGCTTTCTTTATGAGAAGATAAACCCAAAGGCCTTCTGTTTTTTGACTCTGAAGTGAGCTTTCCCATTTCTTCTGGTTGATTCCACTGTGCTGGCTCTTCTACTAAGCACACGTCCTGAGATGTTAGGCTTCTTTCTTCATCGCCCCTCCCTTTTCTTCTTGTTCTCTCCATCACATTGGATGTGTTATGATACAGGCCACCATTCAGCAGCCTGTCAAGGCTTGCCCTGCTCCAGGTTCCTGGTTTAGTGGGCGAGCACAGTGGGGTGCGAGGTGGCCCTTCTCCTGGGGGCTTTTCGTCTGGAACATCTGAGGTTGTCCAGTGTAACACAGAGATTCCTGGGGGGCTAGCAGCCAGAAGGCTCTTGATGAGAAGCAGCAGAAATGATCAGGAATGCCTGCCCACATTTCCCAGCCACACCATATCAGCTTCTCCATGATAACTATGGGATCTTGATGTTGTTAGTATTAACAACAACAACAAAAATCAGGCTTTTTAAATATAGAAGAAAAGGGGGGAAAATAAAGTCTATAACTCCAGTGTCCAAAGGATCCCTGTTGAACTTTTTTAGAAGTTAGCATGCATACACGATTAGAAATTTCAAACCAAACAGAAAGGTATAGAAATGAAAAACTCTTAAGTGCACTTCTGTGGGTGTGCACACACAATACCACCTGCCTTCTTTCTTTCCCCCAACATGAAATGCTAATATATTCTTATGCAGCTTTCCAGGAAAAGTTGTGTTTATACCATCATAAAGCTTTACCCAAAAGGGACTCTGCTTTGTTTCTTGTTCTTACTTTTTTATCCTGATGCTATTTCCGCATCAGCATTATGTAGATATAAAAAGTCCTCAGTCTTTTTAACATCTACGTGGATTCCCACTTTATGGACAGACCATAATTACCTAATCACTCCCCTGTTGATGGGCATTTAGGTTATTTCCAGCTATTTACTGGGTAGGTTGCATTTTAAAGGTTTGAAATGTCCCTGTTAAGCATCCTTCCCCCCCTCCCTCCCAACACCTGATCATGGAGAAAAGCAGACCCCTTGGAAAGTTTTTGAATTCATTTTCACAGTTGACTTTTTTTTTTTTTTTTTTTTTTTAGTATAGTCAGGGAAAGGAAGGTAACTGTTGTTTGCTTAGTGCATTGCCAGGCTCTGAAGGAACTTTCTATCCCTGATTTCCTTTAGTTCTAGGAAGCCAGAATTGCTCCATGTTTTAGACAAGTAGCCAGAAGCTCAGAGAGGCCCCACCACTCATGTAGGATTCAGCTGGGGTTCACACCGCTCTGACCAGCCCTGGAACTCGTGCACTGCTCCGCTTCCCTTAGTGCTGCCGGTTTTTCTGTACATCTAAGTCTATACAGAGCTCAGGGAGAGGTTTCTGCATCTATCCATGTGAATTTCTGCTCTCAGCTTCTAACTGAGTGGTGTTTTGCTCTGCGTTTGGTCTCAGTTTTCTGTTTCTGAAAAGCTTTGGGTATGGTATGCTCTAAAATTCACTGGGAGTAAGTGGTAATCAGAGGAAACAGTCACTTCATCTTGGGGCCCTAACTTAGCGGGTTTGGGTCCTTTAGGAGAGGATGAGGGGGGCATCCGGGGCTGCGTTCAATCGCACAGCGTCCTAAGTGGGCTCTGATTGATGCTGTCTGTCAAGTGGTGCACGCCCGGCATGCTCCCTTCTCTGGGCTCTTGGTTATTGGCATCTGTAATTCACTATCTGGGTTTCTTGGACAGTAGAACCATGTCTCAATTTATCTGTCATTTTTGTGGATGAATGATCCAAAGTAGGTAAATAAAAATTAATGTCTGGATTTAGATGCTAATTTAACTTTCAATTAGGTTTTGTTTTGAGTGTTATTGAAATTAATCTGTGTTCTTGGAGCACATTCCACTTATTGGCAAGGTACGGTGGCCCCCAGAACACAATTGGTGGTTGTTTGGGGTAAATTCATAAGATGGATAGACCATATCAAGATAATGGAAAAGTTTACTTTAAAACTTTTCTGTTTTTCAATGACAAAATGATGTCGGAATATCATCCAGACCCTGGAGAAAAACACTTCAATCAGAATCCTGCCCCAAACAAATCAGGGACAATTTTTGTGTGTGTGTGGTCTTTGCTACTTTCTAGACCTGGTTCATTTGCATGTAAATACTTTTTAAAGAGCACTAAACATGCAACTGAGTTTGAGCTCCTGGTGAAGCACTGTTATTTTAGAAAGAGCGTGGGCTTTGGGATTGGGCAAGCTTCAATTCAAATTCTGACTCTGCAGCTCAGTAGCTGTGTGACATTGGGCAAGTCACTTAACCCTTCTGAACCTCATTTCTCATCTGTAAAATGGGACTGATAATCCCTACATCTCACGGTTGCTATAAGGACTGAGATACAGCCATGTTTTCCACAACGCAGGATATGAACCATGGTGACACACAGGTCTTTTTCATTTCTCTTAGAAGCCTTCCGACTTTTCAGGGGAAAACGTCTTCCTTGGGGGCAGGCTTCCTTTGGGGATGAGCTTTAACTTATCACTCATACTTGCCAGGCTCCCCTTCTAAAGAGAGCCAGCATTTGGTTACATCCAATACACGTTGCTTTTTCTTTTCTATTTTTTATTGTTATATTAGCAAGGTACACTGGTGTTCCATTTCTGTTGTGATATACAGTTCCTTTTAAAATAAATATATTTAAATTAGAAGTTAATAGTGTGCTGTGGTTAAGACATAAATTGTGCAGATGGTAAGTGGTTTTGAATCCCAGCTTTGCCACCTCCTGGCTGTGTGGCCTTGGGCGGTCACGTAACATTTCTGAACCTCAGTTTTCTCATCTGAGCATAACATGGGCATAGCAACAGTACTATTTTGTGGGGTTTTTGTAAACTTTAAGTGAGATAATATAGTCAGAGCCCTTAGAACAGCATCGGGCACATAGAAAGTACCATAAAAGTACCACTTTCAAAGTGTGTTTCTGACCTTTGGGAAGCAGGGAGCTGGTGTGGGTTAAGTGCAGAGTGACTTAGGACTGTGGGCAATAAATGGTAGCTGGTGCTGTGGTTTGGATTATTTAATAGTGATGATGTTAATAATAGTCATAATAATCAACGAGGAGGTAGAATTTGTTGTATTGAAAGGAATTTCTTGGGGCAGAAACTCTCAGGAAGCTTGAGAGGAGCCAGTGAGATTGCAACGTTCAAATCCGTCTGTTACCTTGGTTTGACTTTCCAGGCCAAACCCAGCATTCGGTGCTTCATTAAACCCACCGAGACGCTAGAGCGGTCCCTTGAGATGAACAAGCACAAGGGCAAGAGGCGGGTGCAAAAGAGACCCAACTACAAAAACGTTGGGGAGGAAGAAGATGAGGAGAAAGGGCCCGCCGAGGATGCCCAAGAAGACGCCGAGAAGGCTAAAGGTACAGAGGGTGGTTCAAAAGGCACCAAGACGAGTGGGGAGAGTGAAGGTGAGTTGCGCCCGTGAACGCCGACCTGACAGCCAGGCTGTCCTCTGTGTCTGGTCCCCCTTGTGTGTCAGTGGGTGCAGCTGTCATTCCAGGCACCGGTGTACCTCATTCTACACAGCCAGCCACTGGGAAGCAGCTGTGGGCAGATCTGGTTCAAGGCCTGCCCTTGTCAGATGGGTGGCTTGGAGCAAGGCCCTTTCCTTTTAGCCCCGTGCCTCCGTTTCCCCATCTGTCAAGAGGCTAACAAATAGTAGCCTCTTGATAACAAAGTATACTTTGTTATTAAGAGAATTAAACAGATTAATACAAGTAACATGCTCAGAGCAGTGCCTGGCACATGTCATAAGTATCTCCCGCTACTGTTACTACTGTTATTATTGTCAATCTTTATCATTACTGCTGTTCTTATTACTCCCGATAACCCGGGATTATGATTTTTGACAGAAGTCATTATTTCCAGTGCACTGCAGGAAGAAAAATAGCCCATGTTTAATGAAATTAGGTGCTTTTAATAAGATTATGGTTTTTTGGCATCAAATGATCAAATATAATCCCCTAGATTCTTACATTAAGATTTTTTTCAAGCCCTCATCTGTTTAGAGTGAGGTACACTTGTGTTTGGTGCCTATGTACTCAATAAACAGAATCGTTTTGTCCTCTTTTCTGCCGTTGTCAGGAATGATTCTGGTTTATTTTTCACCTCCCTGTCGTTTAGATGCTAACACCTCCTCCATCTGGAGAGCGTTGTCTGCTCTGGGATGAAGCAAGCTTGAACTGTCCAGCTGCTTGTGTCATGGGCCAGGCTCACAGCCACACAGATGGGGTCTCTGGCCATGGCCCCAGGCACTCAGGGTGGAGGAGGTGATGGGATCAAGTGGGGTAGGGGCTCTGCTCGCCAGAGGGGAGCTCCCACCACACCTCTTGGGACAGACACGGGCTCTCCTCAGCTCCCAGCTGTGTTCTGCTGGGGGTGTGGGGAGCATTTCCTGCGAGCCATCCTCGTGAGTCCTGGGCTAGCAGTGGCTGCTCTGCAGTCGGCTCCCCAGCCCATCAGCCCGGACTGTGTGCGTCCAGGGCCTCTGAAGCTGGAAAACAGAGCAGCTCAGTAAATCAGTGACTGAGAACACATTTGTTTTGGGGAGTTTGCTGCAATTGGGCAGCCAAACCCCACCCCATCCCCACCCTGCTGGCCCCATTCTGATTTTCTTGGCAGTTCTCAGCGAATGCCACGATCACATTTCGATAAGTATAACCAGAGTGTCTCCCCAGTGCCACCAGCCCTCTTTTTAAGGCTGAGATCTCTAGTACGCTTTTATTTCTGTTCAAAGTGTGCAGTAAGCATCTTGGTTTAGGAATTCCTTTTTGGCTTGGGAAACCTTTGCAACAAATGTCACTTTGGTGGGGAGGTGAGGGGCAGACACAAGGTAAGCCATACGTGTTTGCTTATTTGGATCGTTTTGACTTTTTTTCTAACTTGGGAGAAAACTGTCTGCTTAAACCCCTGGGTTTAGCTGTCCTGTAGCCATACGGGGGGGAAAAATGGACGACTTCACCCCATTTTGCACCCTGTGTTCTCGTCAATTTTGTTTTGGAAAGATGCTACCTCTTTTGTTCCAGTCCTTTTAAGGGCTGCTGTCTAACCAGGCCGGGGCCGTGACTAACCGTGGTGTGGACAAGGGCAGGCTTGGCCTCAAACACACAATCAAATGACTCAGCCAGGCGGCCCAGTCCTGGCACACAGGGGCTTCAGAGGTTCAGCAAGGCTGCCGTCCCAGCTCCCAGGTTGGGGTCCGGGGAAGGACTCCCTGCAGGCTGGGCCCACCTGCCCTGTGCAGGGGGCACGGGGAGAAATGTTCACCAGCCTCCAAAACACTGTTTTCTGGGTGGTTACTCAGCCAGGTTGTGCCAGGCAGGGCCCAGGAATTTCCCCAGAGGCTTTACTTGGACGGCTGATGCAGACTTCAGAGCCCGGTGGAGCGAGGCTGTCCGCGACTCCTTGGCTTTGTAGTGCCCTCCTGCTTTCTCGAATGCATGTTTGTCTTCCCACCCAGCTCACTGTAAATAAATACAACTTTCACAGGCCTGTCCAGCAAAGAGACACCTAACTGGGCAGCAGCAGCTGTATTCTGGGGCTTTTTGAATTGTTTATTTGATCTCTTAGTTAGTCTCCTGTTTGAAGGTGTTCTCTCCTTAGACTGTATCTGTGTTTGGGTGAAACCATACAGCTGTTAATTCCTGTGACTTGGAAGGGTGTCAGGCACATTTTCAAGCCAGAGGACAGTGTAGATGGGGGAGGTGCCTAGGAGATGGGAGATGTGACCTACGGTCCTGTCTCACCAGCTAGACCTATTGTGTGCCTTGGATGGCCTCCTCAAGCTCTGGACCTCATTTTCCCCATCTGGAAATTGTGACTGTAGGAAATGTAATGACTTTTATTTTTTTTAATGAGGCTATGTTAGGATTCTTGTAGTTGTAAGATTTAGACATTCAACTCAGACTAGCTCAAGCACAAAAGGCAGTTATCGTTCATGCGACTGGGAGGCCTGGGCGGGGCTGGACGGGGTGCACAGACAACCATTGGCCGTGAGAGGCTCGCATCCTGCCAGCCTACCACCGAGTGGAAAGGGAGCTGCTCCTTCCTACGGGCTGCAGCTGGAGTCTGGGAGCCGATGCTCGTTGGTGCTGACGGACCTGGCTTGCCCACCCTGTAGAGGGATGTTCTGTGCTAGTGGCCAGGCCCTGTGTTTCTACCCTAAGGTGACTGCCTCAGAAAGAAATGAGGCGCATTTATCAGAAGGAGGGGGCGTGGGTGCCAGGCCAGCAGAAACAACAGGTGTTCCCTTAGAAAGCCACACTATTTCTGTGTACTCCGCCATTTTCCTCAGGCCGTCTTCTCCCTTCCTGTATTTTATTTTTCTTTTCCATTCCCTTCCTGTTTTGAGGTGGACATGTGGCTGTTTTCTCCTCCAAGTCATTTCTTCTCTAGCGTGCTTTCTTGCATTGTCCCTGGATCTAGGGGCTTGATGACAGCCTTGACTCTGAGTAAAGAGGTGCTGGCGCCAGTTCCCCCTGCATACCCTGCCATTTTCGTCCATTTCAGTGGTGAAATCTTTACTTAGAAAGGGGGCGTAAAGCACAGGAGTCAAAAGACATGTCACGAGTCACAGTTCTGCCATGACCTGATTTGTATGTGGCATTGACTTGTTTTTTTCCTACAAATGCAGCACCCAGAATTCACACCTCCTCCACATTTAAGCCCTGACAAGAGTTGTGTGAAATGAATATGCACCCCTGGACCCTCCACTCTCACCCCCAGTTTGCAAAGAAATGTGCTCTGCCTCGGGTCCCAAGTGATGGGCAACTAATTCTGAAACCCAAAAAAATCACAGGGCCCCCTCACTTTTCAGAATTTGAGTGCTGAAAGGAAGACCAGGGTGCCCTGGTCCCTCTGGCCAGAGGCGAGTCCACCCAGATGCACTTCCATGTCAGTCTCCTCTTCAGTCTGGAAGGACCGTCATCTCTTTTTGGATTCAGTTAGAGCAGTAACTTAATAAATGGGCCTAGGACAAGAGACTGAATCGTTTGAACTTCTTGTTTGAAAAATAGGGTTTGGCCTATGGAAAAATAGGTTTTTTGCTTATGGAAAAAGTGTAGGCATCAGTTTCACAGCCTGACCTTCAAAGCTTACTCCTATCTTGAATCCCCACGTGGGCATGGAGGGAAGGGAATGGCACTGACTTTGAACCTGCCAAGTCAGCTGGGCGTTGGGGGTGCCTAGGAGTTTAGAGCCCCAGCTTGGCTTTTTTTTTTTTTTTTTTTTCTTTGAAGTTTCTACTGAAATGAAATGGAACCTGGCCTCACTTCTGCAAAGCCAGAGCCAGCCCCAGGCCTGGCAATTTTCTGATTGGGGCGAGCCAGGGACTAGCTATCAGGAGGTCGGGGTCTGCATCCCAGACACCTGTGGCTCAGCCCCCGAGGAGCTGTGTGACCCTGGGCAAGTCATCACCCTTTCTGTGCTTCTTTACCGATAGAGGGGGCTGCACGATGCCCAGCCCTCAGGTTGTCAGCGATGAGAACATCGGTGCCTCAGCATTTAGCCTATGACACATGAGCACTGAATAGGAGCCCTGGCAAGATGAAGAACAGAGTGAGGAGCCTGGAAGGGGGACTTGAGCTTGGCTCGGGGGACTCTGTGCTTGGTCACCCCGGCGAGTTTCTGCGGGGCCTGTTTCTCTGTTCATTTCTGTAACGAATAGTGAGGTGAGTTGTGGTGGGGCATGGGCCACTGGGGTAGAGAGGTGTGGGAGCACCAGCTTTTCCAATGGGCTTAACTAGTATAAGGAGAAGGATTGGAGGTCAGTTTAGACAAATCCTCTGAAAAGCAACTTCCCAGAAAAAACATTCTGAGTTCAATCTCGTGCTGTCCAGTAAACGGTAATAAAAGCAAAGGAAGGGGTACCCCCAGACACTCAGCACATACACACCCTGTCATTGCCAGGCTTTGTTGGCCTCTTGCAGTTCTGCTCCAAAGCCAGCCAGTAGCATGTGGTCCTTCCCATATTTCCTAGGTAACCAGCAAGGGCATCTTTCTCCTCTTTCCCTTAACCTTCTTCTGAAGGCTTTCTTATCATCCCCTTCCCCTCTTTTTATTGTCTGGCCTCACCGTGATTGCTGGAATGTTGACCACAGAGGACAACTGAGAAAATCCTTGAACTTGGAAAGTCAAAGACTGTTGGGAGGTCATGCCTGTCACTTCCCTGAAAAGCACTTTGTTTACCAAATACTAATCAGATTAGAATGCCCATCATCCTGGGAAGTTGATGAATTATGGCTGTTATTTAAAAAAAATCAAGTGTGTCAGAGTACTGGGGAAGCTCACAGGTTGGGCCAGAGTTGTCATATCAAGGGACGGAGGTTGACGTCCTTGGGTCCTGAGAGTCCTCGGGCCTCTCCTGCACATTTGCATCGTGGTGCAGCCATCACCACCTTCCAGCCCCAGA